TTAGGAAAATTGGATCGATTAGATCTTTTAGTTTTTCTTGAGGAATTTTTGGTAGGGTTTTATCCTTGAAAAATTCTTTAGGATCTTTTTGAATAGTAGTTAAGTTATATAATTCGTAGTAATAATCGTTGAAGGCATTTCATATTTTTAGGGGGGCCAGGCATACTTCATCTTTATAAATGATCTTCAAAATTGTATTTTTATTTTTCAATTTATTGGAGAGCAGTCATCTATTACAGATTTTAATCTCTTTAACACTTTACTTGTTTTATTTCTTAACCGTTCGTTAATTTAATTTTTTAGATCGATAATTTTATTTGATATCAAATCTGAAGGAGATAGCATATTAATCTTAGAGAGATCGTTAAGTTGGATGTATAAGGTTGCTTAATCTTTCTCCTAATTCTTTCTCCTTTGCTCCTATCTTAATTAATGTTCCTCGTTGCTAGTGAGGAATTTTCTGTCAGGAATTTCCCCTTGCCATGGTCTTTTGTATCAATTTGAAACTCTCTGTGTTTCTCCTTGTCCCCAAACCAGCTGGTGAGGAGCCCCAATGAACGAGACAAGACAGGGTTCAAAGTGACTTCTGACATTTAATGGGCGATGTAATAGGTTATATTCAGTAGGAAACAGGAGTGGTCTTTACAAGCATTATCAAATCCTAATAAAATCATCTATCTTATCATCTTAACCTATAGCAAGCTTGCAGGTGTATCTTCATGTTCGGGCCTTGCTCAAAGCTAAGTTTCACTATAACTACGCACTTAAAATTAATATGCATTCGTACTTAGAATTTAAAGATATTTACTGCACAGTTCTGAATTTCACATTACTATGCAGTTATGATCGAAGGGAGAAACACAAGAAATAAGGCCAACAGCAGAAACATTTAGGATTTAACACTAACACTTGTTACACAATGTTGTATAGCTCTTGTCTAGGGGTATAATCACTAAGCATTGTATATAGATAAAGTATATTATTTCAAATAGCTGACATGTTCCAAGTTAGCCAAATTTAAACAGACTGAACATCCTGTCATCTGTAGCTTTAACCTTGGGTCAGTAAAGGCAAAGTGTATTATTCCCAACACCCGTATAACTGCCTTGTAAGTACATCATGCTATTACAGATGGAGTCTCTTCTACCAAATTTTCCTTAAAAAAATATTCTGCCTGTTTCCTTATAAATTCTTTGTTTTCCATTTTGGACAAAATAGTTATTTATTCTCCAATCTGGTCTTGGGGTATTGTAAGATTTTTTTATTTTTTTTTAGTCTCCTTAATAACTGCATTATGGTTTGACCAAGAGATCTCATTTATTTTAATCATTTTAACTTGATATTTTCAGTAAATATCCCCTAAAACAAGATCTATACGAAAGTATGTACAGTGAGACTTGGAGAAGCAAGTATAATCCCGTTCCCTTGGTTGTAAAATTCACCAAATATCATCTAAAGCATAATTCTGGGCTAAGGATTTAAATCTTTGTGCAAGTCTAATTATTCCTGTATCTCTTATTACTCCTGAACAGTTTTTTTGTTGTTTTTTTTTTTAGTCCAATTGTGGATCCTGGACACCGTTAAAGTCACCAAAAATCATCAAAGTCCCTTGTTAATTCTTTTCTATTGTTTTAAAACTTTAGTTATAAATGGCATAGATGAATGCTTTGGGTCGTATATGTTAGCCAGAGTGTATGGTATTATCTATCTCACAAATCATAATAGTATATCTCCCCTCTATGTCTAGGTCAACGTAAATACTTTTAAAACAGACATTCTTAGCTATCAGTATTGCTACTCCTTGTTTTTTTTTCTTTTTCCTACCAATGATGCGGTTATTACCATAGGATATGCCTTAAAATTAAGATTAATCTTGTCTCGATCTCCAATGGGTTTTTTGTAGACAACATATGTTTACAGACTGTTTGTTTCTTCAAATAGTCTACTAATATAGCTCTTTTATATGGGGTGTTAAGTCCCTGGACATTAATGGTAGCAAATTTAGTCATCCTTCCTCTTTACAGCCTGCTTCTACAACTCAACATTCCCTACCTCAGATCCACTCACTGCCACAACTAACAATAAACAGATACAATGACAAACATTAAAAACATTATCAAGTCCCACCTTCCCCTGGGACCAAAAAACACCTGTGAACCACACCTCCCATTTGGCTCACAGGAATTTTCTGCCATTTGAAAAAAAGAAAATGGCAGAAAGAACAGAGGTATCGCTAAGGAGAAATCTAGATATAGCTTTCTGGGAGAGTATTTTAAGAAAGAGTATTAAGAAAAGGCAGAGGAGGAGAGAGGGAAGAAGGGGGAAAAAAAGTTACTAGATCCAAATTATTTCTTGTTTGATTTACATATCATAATCCATCTCGTTCACTTGCATGTATGTATGTATATACGTAGGCATATACTTACATTCACATTTATCTTAAACCACAAAGTGTAAATATCAACATCCCAATGCATTCCTGTAACATTTAGATATAATTTTAAATACAACGTCAGGATACAGTCATACTTTAACAAAATAGGACTGGTTTCCAAAATATCTGTATTTTAGGTTTAGAAAACTTTCTTCTTTCTCTTCTTTTAAATACGTGAAATATTTACTAATCTACCTATATAAGCACTCCCTTGTCACCCATATAAATCCATTCATTCATATATATGCAAACAGTAAAAATGTGTATATCTTGTTAAAGATCTAGATTTAAAACCATTCGGTCTAGAAATGGATACCTATTAATCCATATGCACCCCTGCACATGCACATAGCTATTTCTCCATAAATGCTCAATTATATATGTGCCACCCCTATCTGCATTTTGTGAGAGATTTTGTTATTAAGATGAAATAATAAAAAGAAAAAATAAATAAAACTTGTTCGTGTGTGTGTGTGTGTGTGTGTGTGTGTGTGTATATATATATATAAATATATATACATACATACATACACACGCATCTTCAACCACAAAGTGTAAATTTCAGTATCCCAATGTGTTCCATAGTAGCAATTAAGTATAATCTTGAATATAATTTAAAGCAAAGGTCACTTTTTAACAAATAGGAATGGTTTCCAGTGTGTCTTAGGGAAATGAGAAATTTAGTAAAGAGAAAAAAAAATGTTTAAAAGTGAAATATTTACTAATCATCCTATATAAGCACTTTCATGTCACCCACATATATCCACTAATTCTTATTTTTCTCTAGAGAGATAAATAAAGAAAAACTCCAATATAACTTTTCTATTTTGTGTCCTAATGATTTATTTAAAATCGTCCACACTTTCCTTTTCTCTTTCTTTCCTCCTCCCTTTTCCCTCTCCTCTTTGAGGAGATATCGAATTTTCCTGTCATACATGGATCCTAATATTATACGATGGAATTTTGAATTGAATAATTATTTGGAGAAGTAACTATATATATATACTCCTATTTTGTATAGTTAAAAAAAAAAAAAAAAACATTAAATCAAAATTACTTGTGTAACATTGTGCACTTTTAAATTTGATGCAGATTTAAATATTGTGGTCCATCTCATTCCCATGCATACATGTATATACATACATATGCACCCATACACATCTGCATGTATGCTGAATTTGTAGCTACATTTGGTCCATCATTTCCTCATTTTCTGTCATTTTTCCTCTATAAGTTCTTTCATCATGGAATTTATTTCTAATTTGACATTTTCTAATTGGGTTTCAAAGGCTTTTTCTAGGAATGCTTTAGTTAATATTTGTTCTTATTTTCTCATTGATGTCTGGAGATTTTTAGGGTCTGTACCTGCCATAATAGGTAATGATTCTTCCATGTCTAGCAGATCCTGGTCTGCTCTAATTGTTTTGGGGGAAAAAAGGATAAATGTTGATCCGATTTATTTTCCTGGTTTTTCTCCTTCTTTGTAATTTGTTTGTGTCTGCAGTCTTCCTGTTAGCCATATTTTATCTTGTTCTGCTATATTATCAGTGGGCACAATGACCGAGAAAAGAGAAAAATACCAACAAAAATAAAAAAAACGGAAGAATATATGTATAAACATAAATAATTAAACAAAACACTGTTTTAAAAGGCAGATCAGGCCCACCCTTAATTGATTCACTAATTAAGGGTGTATTCACTCCTTATACTGTATCCAGTTTAGGCAATATCTCCTCTCAGACCTTTGATAATGATTGTAATGTATCTCCAGCAAATATAGTTATAAATAATGGGTACAAATATATGTCAAGTGACTGTTTATATCACAGAAATAGACATATCTGTTGTTTTCCACGTTGTAGTCTATTCCTCCTGTTGGGTGGTCTGCTAGCTGTCCTGCCGAGCTCTTATCCGACCTCAAGGTACCCTTTATTGCCGTGCTTCAGCCTAAGCACTGCCTGAGTACTCACTCAGCTTAGGGGCTCACTTGAGTTAGATTTTGTTCGATCCACATTCCTTATTTAGGCTAGCTTGGCTTTTCCTCCCGAAGATGCTCAGTCTCTCAGCGTCCTACACGGGCTCCCTTGCTCCCTCCATTTTATGTACCGCGAGCATAGCCGCTTGCTACGTCATCGCTCCACCTCCTAAACAACCACGCTATGTTTAACCCTGTAACTTTCCAAGACACCTTAAAACCTGTACATGAGGGATACTGTTTTACTAGGTAGACTTCGCTGAACACAAATATTAGTGTTTCAAAACATTAAAACATATCGCAGCGATGATATTGTCTGCGAAAGTGAAGTTTTTAGCATTTTTTACACACAAACGGCACTTTCATTGATTATATTGTTGTGATACGTTTTACTGTTTTGAAAAACTCATATTTGTGTTCAGCGAAGTCTCACAGGTATAACAGTACCCCCCATTTACAAGGTTTATAGTGTTTTTGAAAGTTACAGGGTCAAATATAAGGTTTGATTTTTCAGTTTTTTCAATTTGCCAGATTGTTTGTTGCCTTTGAGAGCGTATGGTAGCCCAGGGATGAGAATTATCCCCACGATGGCATACCATTTGCAAAAGAAGACAACCCAAGGTATTGCAAATGGGATATATTCAGTCTTTTTTAGTAGCCACTTAGTCACAAGCACTGGCCAAAGTTTGTGTTCATAATTGTTTTTGCATTTTTAACACACAGACAAATATAAATGCTAACTTTGGCCAGTGTTTGTGACGAAGTGGCTACTAAAAAAAACCTGGACATACTCCATATGCATACCCTGGGTTGCCTACTTTAAAAAATATATGGTTTGATAGGGGTTAATTACATTGGCCGGCTTTAAAAATGGCCCAAATAGGACATGTATGTATGATGACTAACTGTGAAAATTCTAAGTTGGAAAACTGGAATGTGCACCCTTCAAATAAGGTTTTTTAGCCTCCAGAGAACCCAACACACCTATACAGTATATCACTGTACGTGGGAGATGTTGCTGAACACATATTGTGGTGTTCTTTGACAGTAACCCTTAAAGTTTTAATTTGGCATAGATTGGTGGTAAAATGGTTGCATGAAAAGAGTCAAATACCCCAAGTTTAATAACTTAGGTTGTCTTCTTTTAAAAAATATATACATGTGAAGGGTTATTCAGGGTTTCCTGACAGATATCAGTGTTGCAATGTAACTTGCGTTAATTTTGAAAAAGAATTGCTTTGGAAATAGCAAAGTGTTACATGTGCTTATAGCCCTATAATTTTCCAAAGAACATGTTAACATTGGGTATATCTAAACTCAAAATTTAGAAACTATTTATCATGGGTGTTTTTTGGCGGTTGTAGATGGTAAGATTTTGGGGGTCAAAGTTAGAAAAAGTGTTTTTTTTGTTTTGTTTTGTTTATATGATATGTTAAAAATAATTGTATCTTTAGAAAGACCATTTAATGGCGTGAAAAACGGTATATAATATGTGTGGGTACAGTAAATGAGTAAGAGGAAAATTACAGCTAAAAACAAACACCACAGAAATGTAAAAACAGCCCTAGTCCTTAACGGTAAGAAAATTGAAAAACGGTCTGGTCACTAAGGGGTTAAAGTAGAAAAACAATAGCATTACAGTTCTCGTAAATCCGCCAAGCAGCAATTTATTTTCCACCACACAATTAACTAGGGAGATTGTCACCTTAAGGATGCAGCTTCAGAAACTGGACGTACCCTTAAGGACACAACAATATTTGCATTTTTTGCTATTTGTGTTAAACCGCATTTTTCTTATTTATTGCATGAACACATATTATATACCATTTTTTTAATGGACAAAAGGGAATATAATTTAATGTGACCTATACACATATAAATGCTAATTTATTATAAAAAACATTAGAAACAATCCAACAAAAATGTTTATTTTTTTTTTTTTTACAGTTTTGGCAATATAAACTTGTGCATTATATATCTAGGAAAAGTATTTAGGCGCTGTTTGACTACCAAATTGTTCGGGTATGGGAGTGTGTATTTATAGTAAACATATACTTTGAGAATGCCCTGACCAGACCATTAAAGCCTTTAAAGTTAATACTAGTATTTTGTTCACACTTTTCGTAATTGTGTGTTTGCACTGTGCACTTTATTATTGGCGCCAAAGACACATTGTTGATACATTTCACATGTTTTTTTTAGAATTACTAGAGGTGGTTCTGATTTTTAGGCTGCACTATTGCACTTTGTCAAGGTCACGTTTTTTGTATTTAGTATTATTTCTAAAGTTAGTATGTTGTTTTCATTAACTACTACTGCTGCATATGGCATGGTTTATCAGTCCCCTTTTATGATTGCGGTCTTCTTAAATGTATATACTGCCACTTTCTTTTTTTTTTTTTTTGTTATCCAAGGAATCAGCTCAGCATTTAGTGCTATAATTTTCAGCAATGTCAGCGTTTGTAGCCTATATAGAGTTGAGCTGCTAATGAGAGTAAGGTTGTACACATTTTATTGCTATGTATATATATATGCAATTCACAAGTAGACTATTGAGTTATTGACTCTGTTGATTATTTAGTCCATTTTTGCATTTGAGGCTTTATATTGCAGTTCGTGACAGTCTATAATACATACAGACTGACTGTATTTAGGGCATCCTCAATTAGGTACACTAGGCTCAGTGGGATGATATTGCCATGTGGTGGCTACTTGTAAGCATGATTTGTTTTGTTTTGAACAATTAGTAAACTATTAACTAGTAAATTTCACATACTTCATTGTTTATGGCTGATAAATTAGTCATCAGAAATATTTTGATCTCTCCTCCCTTCCCTATACTTACTTTATTTATTTAAAACTACCTTCTTTTCCCAAGAAAAGAGAGGGTGGCCAATGAGATTATCCAAATAGAGAGGGCAGAAACAAGGGGGTAACCCTAAGTAACTGGAACAATAGAAAAGGAGAGAATCTGTCCCTGGAATAAAAATCTTGAAAATACTTTGTTGGTATAGTACAAAAGACGTTCCTAAATTAGACTACTTTTCACACTCTGATATGGTATTGATGGGTGTCAAAAAATAGACAGACCAAGGAACCAACATTAGGTGTTAAAGGCGTTAATATAGGGGGAAAGGGAGATGAGGAAGAACACGAGACGAAAATGGTGATAATAATATGTGCAAATAGGAGATCTTAAGGCACACAATATTATAGTTGGTCTGGAGTGAAAAGAGTAATCTCCAGAATCCACTAAATAGTCAAACTAATGTAGGTGCAAGTAAGAAATCTTCAAGCACAAAATATTGTGGTTAGTCTGGAGTAAAAAGGGTAATCTCCAGAGTCCACTAAATAGTCAAACTAATTACTACAGTTTATAAATAGCGATATAGTTGTCACTAGTCACTGTTGCGTGATAATATAAATCTGTTCACTGGATAATTGGACTAGATATGTCACTATAATTGTTGACCACTAGGGGTCACTCTAGAGATGAGTTCTAGACCTATTCGCTAGCTCAATTAACAAAAAAGTATCAATCGTCAATATAAAGACAAATAGATACAGTGAGGTATCCAATTGTTAGTAGGAAAAAGTGATGAGCAAAATGTAGCATATCTGTTAGTATACCATATCTGCTAGTATCATCCGAGCATAACATCTAAGTCAAACTATTGCGTGCTTTTTACTCCTTATACAGGACTTTAGACGCTGTCAAATAGTAAAGACAGCTTAATGGAACCGTTGTGTGCTCGTTGCCACCTTGCTAGGTAAAATTGTGTACCCACAATTACACGGTGTATTACTGGTACTTAATTTGCAGATCCGTTTTGTGATCTATTGTTACTGTGTAAAACTCCATTGTTCACACATAAAATTTTGCGGTATACTAAAGCATGCTAAATAAAGCAAATATGTCTAGATTGTAAAGCTACACTTGTTTGGAGAGAGAAAGATAAATAGAATATGAATGCCTTCGAGGGCACTGGTTATAGTAAAGATAATGTGCCAGTAAAACGGCAAAGCAGTGTACAGATAAAGGATGTCACTTATACTGTAGATTAGTTTAAGAAGATAAGTACCCAGATCGGTATATTCATTTGCTATTCCGATGTAACTTGGTCGGTAAGATAATTCCCAATATTTGCTAATAATTATTAATCCCCTCTGAAAAGTAACTTAGTCTAGTCAATATATAATATATACTGCCTAAAAAGGCTGATAATTAGCCGAAACAAGCTTGTAATCGAGCAAGTGCCGAGGGCAGTTGGTTAAGTAATAGAGAGGGAGAAAACTAGATCAATAGTAGCAAAATCTAACCATACAAAGAAGTGTGCAGTGCATGAAAGAATGTTCACAAGACCATATAAAAGTGAAACCTCCACCTTAGGTGAACATATAAATCAGATAAAAAATAATAATGGTTAAGTACCCCAATGTAATCGTTATCAGAAGGTGTGTATCTTATCTATAAAAAATAGAAAGATCATAGCATAACACTGTGGTAGTGAATAAATCTGATATAGCAATCTGTATGGTCCAACTCACATATAATAGAGCCTGTTACAAACTGGCTCAGGTATTGTCGCTTTAAAAGGATATCCTCAGATGAATTCACGAAAACTGCAGCTTGATCCTCAATGTAAAGTGCACAAACACCAATTAGAAGTATAGCAACAGTACAATTTATTAAAATGAATAATAAAAGCTTACATATAAGATTCTGGAATACCAGCAAGAAGCACTTCTTGCTGGTATTCCAGAATCTTGTATGTAAGCTTTATTAGCTATATCAGATTTATTCACTACCACAGTGTTATGCTATGATCTTTCTATTTTTTATAGATAAGATACACACCTCCTGATAACGATTACATTGGGGTACTTATCCATTATTATTTATCTGATTTATATGTTCACCTAAGGTGGAAGTTTCACTTTTATATGGTCTTGTGAACATTCTTTCATGCGCTGCACACTTCTTTGTATGGTTGTGTTCTGTCTTCTGTAGGATTTTTGTGGTTAAATCCTACTAGTGTGTTCTAGCAGCTGTTCTAGCGCCACAAACTATACCTTCCTTTTGGGTTTTGTTTCAGTAGCAGAATCTATTAGGGGGAATGACGGAATGCAAGCGATGAAATGAAAATGATGTCGGTGTAAACCCGACGCGCGTTTCGCCTGATTTAAAGGCTCATCGGGGGAAATGACTCCCTGCATTGGTTAGTTTAAATATCCCGCCCTCTTGGCTGATTGATCCAATCTCGGCCAGAGGGTGAATGTAGAAAGTACGGTGGCTTGTAAGGGTCAATAAGGTTCATGATGTAGTAAGTGAATCTTAGCAGAATGAACTGCACTTTTTTAAGGAAAAAGTAATAATGCTCTAAACAAGAGGTTTTAGTATATATACCAAATGAGCAATACATCCAAATAATGGATGATGGAAAATAGTGAAAGGTAGAAGGATTTGATAAATAATGTCTTTTGATAGACATGAGACTCTAAATCGACAACAGTTGTTTACTCATGATTGAACCTGGGTGACACTGTAAAAAATCTATATTGAGAATGTTATTAAGTATCAATGTGATACTAAATAATAGTGTCACTTTTCTGGTTTAGTAAGTATTTCAAGCACAAGAGAGTATATACAAGTCCCTGATGCATTGAAAAGTCATCTGCCATATTCGTGATTAAATTGTGATATCACTGATGGGCACTTTAGAGACACATATAAATAAATATACATATCTGTTGGCTACTATTAGTCTACATTGTTAATGGTGAAATTATCGATGTATAAATGGTGTATAATTAAATTCTTAATTTAAGCCTA